ACGCCGAGCTAGCTCAAAATCAACATATCCTTCACGATTCTCATAGCGAGCAGCAAATGGACATAGAAAATCAAATACGTGGTCAGAAGCGGCCCCCACCTTCCTCTATTACCTCCGACGCAACTTCAGGCACTCAAACAACTCCTCCAGAAAATTCTATGCCAACTCTTCAAGAAATTGCGGCCCAGAATACTTTCAAAAAACCCGAGCACAAAAAAACTAAAAAGAGCAACGAAACGGTCAGTATTGAAACAGCATTAGCTCCAGCCAAAGAAGCTTTGGACGGACAAGAGCTAACTATTAACTTTGACCAAATGAAATTGTTCCTTGAAAAATGTCGTGGCCAGCCTAAAATTAATAACATCGCAAAAGAATTCACTCATGATATAAAAGGACTCATAGATACAATTGACATGATCTATCCTCAGCTCTCAAACAGTAATCTCAAATCTAGGCTAACGCGCATAAAGAAAAAATTGTCACTACCATCTGAAGAACTTACAGACTCACCTCAAGAGTCGGACTATTAAGATAAATAAAAACGACAAGTAAAAAACAACTAAAAATCGCGTTTTGGAATGCACGTAGCATTCTAAAACGTATTGAAGAACTTCCCCTTCTTCTCGTAAATATTGATATCTTTATCTGTGTCGAAACGTGGCTCACTACAGACTATCAAAATTTCAACATACCGGGGTTTCAAATATTAAGGAAAGACAGAACGGAAACTGCTGGCGGCGGAATCTTAATCGCCCTAAGAAGTGGACTTAACGCGATTGAACTAAATCCTCTTAATGATGCGAACGGTAAAATCGAAATCTGTGGCGTTAAAATAACCAATGTCACTCCGCAATTAGACATCATTGCCTGCTACAGACCCCCCAGGAACACTCTACTTCAAGAGGATTGGGACGCAGTCGTAAACAACGTAGAAAACAACAGCTACTCTCTTCTCGTCGGCGACTTCAACGCTCACCACCGACAATGGAACTGTTCTGGAGAAGACTCTCATGGTAAAAAATTATACAGTGCGATCGATAAAAAAGATCTTTTAATTCTTAACACGAAAACGCAAACACGTATAAATCCTTCAAATGGTAATAAATCTAACATAGACCTAATTTTTTCTTCATGTAATATAGCTCATACTATTGATACCACCGTTCTCGATGACTCACGCGGCTCTGATCATTTCCCCGTCATTGTAAATATAGACGCAACTAAAAGTGCCTACGAGAAAAAATCTTTCAAAGTAAATTCTATCCGAACCTGCTGGCCGAAAGTACAAGAAATGCTCAAAGAAAATTTCTCCACATTTTACGAACCTGAATTCTGTGATGCATTGCCTAGCGAAAAATACCAAATTTTTATGAAAGTAATCACAAATACTATAAAATTGAACACGCCTAAAAGAAAATTACCAAAACCACATCGTAAAATAAAAAACCCGGTAACATGGTGGGACGCAGAATGCGACAAAGCCCTACGGTTACGTAAAGCCGCTCATAAAAAATGGCAATTTACACATAAAACGAAAGACTACATAAATTATAAAAAACAAGTCACGATAACCAAAAAGACCCTCAAATCAAAAAAAAGAGAGAGCTTCAAACTTTTTGTTAAAACACTCAACCTCACGACTAACAAATCATATGTTTGGAACAAAATTAAAGTTCTTAAAAATAAATGGACAAAAATTCGTCATAATGATTTTAACTTTGACGCGGAAAAAAAAATAAAAGAAGCCTTAAACAAAGTCGCTCCTCCATGGGCCCCCATTAACCCAGATTTTCACCCACCCAGCAATATCAACGAATTTCTAAGTAAATCGTTTCAGTATTCCGAGTTTAATGCGGCCCTCGACCCGAAAAAAAATAATTCCTCCCCTGGCATGGATGGCATCGATTACGAAATTCTCCAAACTGTACCAACTAATTACAAACTGATACTCCTAGACATATTTAATGAGATGTACGCATCTAACGACTATCCTAACGAATGGAAAAAACAATACATTCACTTCATTAAAAAATCTGACGGAACCAATTACAGACCAATAGCCCTCTCCTCCTGTACGTGTAAACTGTTCGAAACCCTCATAAAAAATCGACTACAGTGGTATCTTGAAAGTAATGACCTTTTGCCAACTGCCCAATCCGGATTCCGGAAGGGCCAATCGTGTACTGACAACCTCGCGAATTTAAAACTCATCATCGAGGAAGGTTTTAAAGAAAAACAACACGTGTTTGCAGTTTTCTTGGACATTAAATCAGCTTTCGACAACGTAAATTGCGAAATTCTTTTACAAGTCTTAGCAGACCTGAACTGTCCCTCGAATCTAATTGAATTTGTCAAATTTCTTATGTACGAAAGAATAATTTATGCAGACACTCTCGGCAACGAATTTAGATATGTATACAAAGGCGTCCCTCAAGGAGGAGTGTTGAGTCCTTTATTATTTATTATTTATATAAGCCTGGCCCTCAAAAATTTACCCAAAGGCGCGGTTATTTCAAAATTTGCAGACGACCTAGCCATTATTGTCAAAAAAAAATCCGCAGAAGCAGGTCTATCCACCACCGAAAAATTTGTACAAATTATAAAAACAAATCTAGATAATATTGGACTTGAACTCTCCCCTGAAAAGACAACCTTTATTCACTTTAACAAGTTGGGTATCCTTCCTGGCGAAAGCGAAATTAAGATTGATAACTCACACATAAAGTCTACAGCGTGCGCTCGCTACCTAGGTCTAACGCTAGACTACACACTGTCTTTCAAAGAACATATTTCAAATGTTAAAAAAAAATGTCTACGTGTAATGAATATACTGAAATTCCTGAGAGGAACCTGGTGGGGTGCAGATCCAAGTACTTTGATAACGCTCTACAAAAGCTACATACGACCGATAGTAGACTACGCCAACTTTGTATATTTTCCTCGTAGAAAGTCACAATTGGAAAGCCTCGAACGAATACAATACTTGGCCATAAGATATGCATTTGGCTACAGGATCTCCACCCCGACCAACGTCCTAACACAAGAATCAAAACTTCCATATCTGTACGACAGGGGAGTATACTTGTGCTCAACATATCTGTCAAAAGTGATTACCAACAAAAGCCTACCTGTAACTAAATCAATCATCCGATTTCATGCAAAATTCAACAAACATAAAAGAAAGAGCCTTCTAGCCAAAGGTATTAGCATTGTGATCCCTCTCAGAAAACATATTAAAACTGACAAAAAATTCAACATTTACATGCACAATTACGATACACTAATCGAAAGCATAAATGTAAATCTAGAACTTGGAAAAACTGTAAAAATTAATCATTTTCCAAATCGTGTCATAGAAAATTATGTAACAAAAAACAACGCTATAGCCGTCTACACAGACGGTAGCAAAGTAACAGGAGCCCAGTCGGTTGGCACAGCATGTATATGCCCGGCATTGCAATTCACGATTGACCGCAGCGTTTGCGAACTAGCCTCCATATTCACAGCTGAATCTATTGCCCTAAACGATGCACTCGATCTTGCGCTCGAAAATACAAACAGAAACATTCTCGTTTTCACAGATTCCCTAAGCGTTCTACATAAACTAAATTCCACAATATTTGACATTAAAACAAACAATTACCTCCTGCAAATCAAAAAGAAAGTTTATGGATTCAAAGAATCTTCCCCAAACGGAAGCACTGTTCAGCTTATATGGATCCCCTCTCACATTGGAATCTGTGGGAATGAATCAGCAGACGAGGCAGCGAAAAATGCAACTAGCAAACCACACTCAAAATACGCTCATATTCCCTACTCCGACTTGCGTCAGATATTCAAAACAGAAGCATCTGAAAATACCAAGATTAGAAATATATCACTTAGTACGCACAAAGGCAGAGAATACTTTGACTACTTTGGCACAGAGGAAAATCAACCATGGTTCCACAAAAAGAATCTAAACCGCGACACCATCGTCACAATAAATCGCCTGAGAGCTAACCATTATAATTTAGCTGCCTCTTTAGCACGAGTAAACTTGGCTTCCTCCGCCTGTTGCTCATGCGGACACGATCTGCAAGACATTGACCACATTGTGTGGCAATGCCCATTACTTGACAATCAAAGGAAAAAACTTGTTAACCAACTAAAAAAACACAGGCTTCAACTACCTCTGAATATCCGCTGTCTAATCTATGATCCCAAAACAGAAGTTTGTAATATGTTGTATACGTTTCTCAAAAATTGTAACCTACATGTATAATATGTAAAATCTTTCCACCGCAAAACTTTCATCTATATCTACAATGTATCCTACTTGTACAGATCAAAAAACAATGTAAACTTATAGCTAAATAACTCCAAAAGGAGTTGAGAAAGCTCAATAAAAAAAAAAAAAAAAAAAAAAAAAAACTTATCCAATTTGAGTCCACTATATATTTCATGTGAAATTATGATAAAATTATTTGAATAGGAAATGATCCTGGCAATAAATTCTAGACAAATTTAAGAATTTACTAATAATTTTCTTGGAATTAGATCGTAGCATTCAAAAACTTTGGTCACATGTTAAATTCCTTTGTCAATACTTAATCGGAAGCTCATTTCAGTCAGTGGACTATTGACAATTTCACAATCTTTCAAATCTTTCAAGAGTGATTGATAGGTTAATCCATAATTGAATCGAATTAACGTAGTGAAAGGTAAGATGAATATTTCGACCTTGACTGATACGAATGGATATACGAATATACTGCTCAAAATATTTATCTCTTTCGTATATAAACAATAAGTTTGCCCAAAGAACGTATAATGAGATAAGCGTTGTCGCTCTTTATCAAGAATAACAAAGAACGTGCTCTGTGTTTGTTACGTGTGAACAGCATTGATGAAAGCAATTAGAAGGAAATTGTAGCTCGTGAGCGTTTTTTTTATTCAAATAATTTCTCATATGCGCACAGAGATGATATGATAAAGCAACTTGCACATATTACAGAACAATGCATAAAATTCAAGGTAGCGTAAGAAATGACGAAACTGACGATTACGATCCTGTGAAATACAGACCGTCAGAGCAGATAACTTCGTAAGATCGACAAATCAGCAAAATTAATAATTCATGACTACTAATGATCCAAATTTTACGTTTGTAGTACGACTTTTGCGACGTTTATGCATTTATTAAAGGCTGCTATCGGAAGTGGAATTTTATTTTTACCATACGCTTTTAGAAAGACTGGATATATTGCTGCCATTACTTGTAGCATTCTCGTAGGCAGTATAAGCATTCACACGGCTGTTTTAACGGTAATGTCCTCGTTTTGTATTCCGTTTTAATAACTACATTGCAGCTGGCCTGAGAAATTTGTATTTCATATCTTCTTTGAGTCTTGATACAAATAACAAGTGCGAAAAAACAATTAACCTTTAGAATTTTCCGACTGTCGGTATACAAATTTGATATAGAAAAAAAAGTACATGACAATCTGGAATAGATATCGATACTTCACTGCATTTTACTAGCTACAATTGTTTCTTTTTTAATAAAGAATGCACGGTCAGGTCGAGTAGGAACTCAAACATGACTTGATAAATTTTTCGAACCACACGAAGTGTTGAACAAAGCACCTCTCGATACGACGATAATATAAGAAAGAATCGGAGTGGCGCAAACGGCGAAAGAAAAGCAAAAAGAAAAAATGAAAGCTGCTCTCAAGGACTTTGGCAAACCAGTTTTTCCGAAATGTGCAGGTGCAATGCAGCCAGATCCTGTGCAAGCGCGCGCGCATACCCTCGCTGAACTTTGCGGAAACGGCCGAGGTCTCGTTCGGCCTGGGACCGGAACCCTTTCGAAAGTACGCCAATGCATTTGGCGTCGCGACCAACGTCATCGTTTGCTTCGTGCAGTACGAGACTGCCGTGGTCTATGCGCTCTATATCGCCTCCTCTTTACAACAGGTGAGAAAAGAGAAAGGTATGCGTAGGCACCAATCAATCTGCGGCCTTTACGGGTCGCCCAAGTCTGTTAACTTTGGAAAGGCTCGTTGAAAGATCATTAGAGCGCTTTCAATTGAGCGAGGCCTGATCGAGGGCTGGGATTCAAACTCCCCTAGTGTCAGGCTATTAATACTTTTGTAAAGCATATACAGTAGCCAGAGGAGACAGCGCTACGGGTCTTATTTGGACAACGTAACTGCGTCACGATAATTTTTCGACGGGCCAACGCGATATCACTTGGGGCATAAATCACGAACTCACGGCTGTTCATAATTGCAATGAAATATGATTTTCGTTTGGGTTATCCCGGTCATATCATGCCCCGGTAATAGAATAGATCCGCGCGAAATGTTCATTGACGCAACGCGGTGACGGAAGATTATAGTCTCGTTGCTCGAAGGTCAAGTTGATTCAAAGATACAATCAATTAAGAAAACAACATAATTCGAAGGCACAATGAGAGAGAGAGAGAGAGACGGGGCCCTTGCAATGAACTTGCAACCGGTTTTTTAGACGGCCGCGGACGGCTAAGAATCAACAGATGTCCGTGTGCGCACTTGCGCGCGCATTAAACTTGTTCGTCCTTGGCCCCGAAGGGTTGCGTCGAATGCGCGCTACACGTGCAGGCAGTTAACTTTAACGATGCCCTCGGAAACAGTGCCGGACCGATGGCGTTCCCGCGCTCTGCCCTGCACGCGCAGCGACGAAACGTCGGGAAGGGCGCACTGCCGCATTTCGGCGAGCGCGCACGCGACTTTGCGGCTCCCATAGCCGCCACGCCATTTCCTGCGTCGGAAAGTGTCGTACGATGGCGTCACGCTGTTCGCATTGCCGAAGCTCTCGCGACGTTCACGGATATTTTTTCTGCCGCAACAATTAGATTATCCTTGTATACCCCGATGAACTCGTCGGCTGCAGGTATTATAGCGCTCGTCTCCATATCAATTGAACGGTACACGTAATGCTTATCTTAATAGTGCAGCGGGAGAGCTAACACCGAGACAATTCTTTAATAGCTGATATCTCGCTATCAACACATCAAATATCCATTATTCTATTTTTATTTCTGCGCGACACGCTCTCATAATTTTTTTCGTACACGCGCGTCGTATAATCATCAAAGTTCCAACCCATCACGCAATTTCACTGTCTTCATTCCAAGCCTCTCTCGCAGCATTGATATACAGCAGTCTAATTATAAATGAAAAGAAAAAAAATTACTTCCTCTTTGGCGTGACTATCTTGTATATTTCGGAGCACTAAAATGCGACATTAATCTAGTCGCGCAAATCGCGTAGACTCTCTCAGCCCGCAAAACACGAGGAAATGGCAGCGAATTCGCGCGGCAAATGTCCCTCTACTCGTGAAAATCGCACTTTCGTCGCTAGTTTCTCTCCCTCCCTCTCTGTTTCTCGTCCTTTTTTTGTAAAAGTAGAAAGCCTGCGGTGCTAAAATTTATTATATTTTCTGGATGTTTCCAGGCGACGACGATCGACATCTCTCGACTGTCGGCTACGCTGTAGAATGTGCGTGTTTGCACACCTCGTCAATTTGACAATTCGAGTAAATTATACGAAAATTGACCTCCTCGGCTGTGTTTTTGTTTTTTTTTTTTTCACTTTATTGTTTACTTAATTATCGGCGGAAAACTGTGACTACGGCTAGCGGAGAGCGCAGTGCGCATACATAAACGAATAAACTGTTGAAAGCCAATACGTTAGCGCGATAGAGAGAAAGTCATAAAACTTTAACATTTGACATGCCGACAATCTTAGCAATGATCCAATTGCACAACCACATAATTACGTCGTTCCTGTTTTGGCGACGAAGGTCGACGACATTAACATGCCAATAAAAACAGACCGAGCTTTTGTCTGCTCGTGCCCTTGCGCGCGAATAAGAAAAATATGCGAAATAATGAGTATATTTTTTCCTTTTAGTGCGTGTCGTTTCTTTTTCCTCTTGACTAAGTACTAAATTCTTCATATGGCACTTGATACAGACAATGTTTACATTCCAGCGACTTCGCCAATACTGTCATTGTACAAATAAAATAAACGTGCCAGGGTTAATTCGCGTCTGTACTCTAAATAGGGCAGATTACCAAAACCATTTGTGACGAATGCTATAAAAACGTAATTTTTACTTTTTTTCCCTGTGAAATCATCACGTTATTTTGCTAGTGGTTCTGGTCCGATTCCGGATCACGTACTAAGATCAACGTTTGTCAATGTTCCAACTCGTGATCATAAAGATCATTCGTAACGATTGCGATTTTCGACCATGAAATGACATGCCACTCGACTGAGTATTACAAAATTACTACTTGTACAATGTACCAAATCATCATCTTTCGTAGATATCTCAAGCGTACAATCATTAATTGATCTAGTTTTTATATAACAATTATGGCTACAACTACTGGTTTATATGAAAATACATTGAAATATTTCTTTCCAATTATTCAGGTTATCGAGTATTTCGCCGATGCACATGTCGACGTTCGCTGGTACTTGATGGCCTTGATACCGATCTTCATCGCTTTTTCACTAGTACCAAACTTCCGATATCTGGTACCGTTCTCGGTGATGGGCGCCGTTTTTCTCTTTTTCGGCTTCTGTTTGACCTTCTACTATCTACTTTCGGACTTCCCATCACCGTCGAGACTCGAGACCTACACCGACTACGAACAGCTGGCTATCTATTGTGGCGTCTTTCTTTTCGCTGTGCACAACATGTCAATACTCTTGCCGCTGGAGAACTCGATGATCCATCCCTCAATGATGCCAGTTGTGCTGGGTAGCTCGATGATCGTCAACGTTTGTATCTACATACTATTTGGTTTCCTGGGTTATAACAAGTATCCAGATGCGTGCGACACGGTTATTATGAATCTGCCTCTCAATGAATTGTAAGTCTTCAGTGTTATTGCATCAGTCAAGCTTTATGCTTTCCTTAACAAAGTTAAGTCAGTTTTACGAATGAATTTTAATTTTTTAATAACAATCGTTTCATATTTTTTATTTACACAAGTTGAGTAAAGAATTGACAGTAGACTTTTGCTCGAATTCGAAGCGTATCAAATGTCATATGAATCACTTTGTATCTGCATCTTAAAAATATGCTTGATTTAATAAAAAAAACTTTTTATGTCATTAAAGAACGAACAAATCACTCAATCAACTAAATATTTAGATCATTGTGCAATACTTCATGCCAGAACTGCAAGCTCGATTTAATTCATTCAACATTACAATTTATTTGTTTATTACATTACCTAGCTAGCGCGAGAAAGTAGATTCTTGTTCTGTGTGAGGTAAGCCCAAGCGAAGGGAGGGTGGAAAGGTAAACGAGACGAGAATCTCTTTCCCAAACATGTTAGGTACAGTCTTTTTTTAGTTTTTTTTTTAACAATGTACGAAAAGCGCAAATTTGAGCACCGGGTGTGTGTACGGCAAAGTTGTATTTTTCATACGACACGTTGAAAAATAATAAAATACAATAATACGAGTTTTGCTAAACATAACGTATTAATAAGGTGATTCATATTACGGAAACGTATATTTTTTGACCTTAGCATTGACAGTTCATTCGCTTTACTGTACCAGGGATTTCTATTGCTAATTCGTGTCTCGTTTTATTTCACCTCGTCAAAACTTAGCTCTTGCGGTCGATCAAGGCTGTACAATAGTCTTCCGTATCTCACTGCAACCTTGAGTTAATTGCTGAAAATTTTTCATTACTCACAGAAAAATAGGAATTAAATATAAATTTATAATACTATTTGTTTACTAATTTCTACTAATTGACAATTGTTTATCAATTTAAAATATTGTTTTCATGATGAACGTCTGTACAAATGAAACATTGAGAAAATACGTTTTTGTAAAATGATTGATGAGTAATAGAAAAATTACTGATAAACACGAGAAAAAAGTATGTTTAATGTAGACACAATGAACAAAATTCCATTGAATATGGATCATCGTGTTCATTTAAAACACACTCGTTTAAAACTCTCTGTAAATATTTGATATCCATTTTCACAGAGAACTCAATTGAAAGAGTAATCCACTTTGCAGTATTCGGTTGAAAATATTAGGCCATTCTGATAACAAAAGCTAAATTTGAATTTTTTAATGTTGTTTATAAGCATTAGAAAAGTAAATCAATCTTTATCATTTCTTGCAGGCCAGCGCAAATGGTAAAAGTCTCAATTGTCCTATCAGTCTTATGCACTTACGGTCTTCAATATTATGTGCCTATAACTATTTTATGGCCAATGATTGCAAAGAAAATTGGCGATAACATATGCTATGAAAGATGTTTCCGCATAGGCGGTGTTATTATTTGCAGTAAGTAGTTTCGTATTAGAATAATGTTGATCATTCGTTAACGATAAATTACGAGAAATGAATTCACACTTTGTGTATCAATACACTATTCATTTGTATATTAATACTATTTGAACTAAAATTCCATTTCTCAGAGTTCAAGCATCTGTAAAAAATGTTATTTATTAAATATTTTTGAAAATTACTGTAGATAAAGCTTATTATCAAAAGGCAGTTCACTCACACACGATTGAAGTAATCACAATAGACGAAAAACAAGTTGATCAGAAGGCGAACGCTTCTCATTAAAATAAAATCACATTTTTGGCACCTAACCACATGTGAATTCGCACCATCTCAATATAAAAAAAAATAAAAACAATAAACTCACTAAATTTTGTACAATCACATAAGGATTGCGGCAAAATACGTAAAATATTAATTACCATTCTGTTTGCGTTAAGCTCTGCTGGCAATAGCTCTGCCACACATGGCGTCGCTTCTGGGTCTGTTTGCAGCAATAAGCATGACAACCGTGATGCTTCTAATCCCCATATTGATTGAGATCGCAACCAAGTGGAATTATCTTACAGGCTGCAAAGGCAGGATTATGATCATCAAGAATATTGTCATCAGCATCGTTTGGCTAATGCTTCTGGTAAAGGATTGTTGATATAATAATCAAAGACTGCAATTTATTTGCCAATGCAAACAGCCTCTTTATGTTCATTTTTCCAATCTTTGATAACTCTCATGCATATTAATCGCAAAACTGCACTTTGAATAGTCTATCATAACGAATCATATTTTACAATCACTTCTTATTATACTTGCGCTGAACAGCTAAGAATATTTAAAAGCTTTTTAATAATTCTAATCCAAGCCGTTCAACTGGATAATAAAATGAAAAAATTCCTTGCAGTTCAGGAATTTTTCCTGAAGGAATGTCGAAGTAGCTTTGAGCTATTGATTTTCATTTGCACTCATTCGCAAATCAATGTAATTGTATCATAATGTTGGAAAAAGTTAATTAAGCAGACGTCACGAACATATTCGAGGAAAAAGATGGGCATGCATTACAAAGAATCGTTTTCAAGTCTTTGGATATTTCTACTTAAACGCAATCGGTTATTTGGAATAATTTATTTAATGAAATGTGTATTATACCGAAATTAATGAGTTTTCACTGTCATTAAAGATTATTAAAAACATATGTAAAAATGTAAGTGGAAGACTAACATATCACACGCTTTCCAGTCACACGAAGAACGGTAATTATGTAATACGCGTATGAAACATTAGTGACGCCTTTTCTTGAATTTCCTTCGAAGCTGTAAACGTAAACGTATCTGTTAATGTTGCGACATTTTTTCCAAGATAACGTCATTACATATGTCATTACAAAAGAATGTAACGTATAACTCAGTGACACTGATCCAATCATCTTTTCGACAGATTTTCGGAACTCTGGAAAATATAAATTCTATCATCCGTCAAAAAAGCGGCGATGAACCAGTTACATCGGACATGTGCTCCACATCGTAAGCTACGCATTACGCATAATTCGTGGATTATAAATATCAATTTTCAACTGCAGTACACGATCGCTATTGTCGGAAAGCTCAAATAATATTGATTCGAAGGTGAACCGTATTGTCCAAATTTGTGCAGTGAAAACTTATAGTAAGTATAAATAAAGCGAAAATAACATGTATTGCTTCGAATAAACATCGGTTTGTCCCTGACTTTGAAATAATCGTTTCATAATCCACATTCGTGGCCTAAAATTGAAGACTCGTTAATTCAAGTGGTTATTCGTCTCGATTGCGAATAATGCTTTTGAGCGAGAACGGTTGCGAAGCTGGCCGAGCTCGAGGGGGGATCAAACGAAATAGCCAAAGGAGTTAAACGGGGAAAATGGCACTAGCGGCAATAATGAGCGCGAGGCGGCCGCAGGACGGCGCAACCGCCAGAGCCTTCTGGAACTTTCTCTGTGTCGCGCGCTCTTTCGCGAGTCTCGAGAAGGGCCGACGCAGATAGTTGCGGCTCTGCGCGCGCGAGAAGAGTTATTGCCGATGCGATGAGATAGACTTGCGCAAGAGGGGAAAATGTACAGGAAGCGCAGGGATTCGCGCTGAATCGTCGTGGACACGCTTTGAACGGTAATTACGGTGCGCACGAGTCGTTGCGATGTTGTTGCCTTGTTTACCGTTCGGGGAAAGAAAACGTGATCCGCGCCGTTCGAGGCAATCACAAAAATTTAATGCCATTGTTGCGTTCGATTGGCCAAATACGAGATACTCGTTTACGCGCGATCACTTATGCGTATGCGTTCGTACACGATTGTAACGACTTTTTTCAACAGAGTCGTTAATATTGACTTTGATGGGATTTTTATTTTTAAAGAATTCAGCTCTGCTACTTAAAATATTATCATTGGAAATTCTCGATAGCATTGTCGGCAAGCTAATGCTTTCTACGAACTACCTTTCGGGCAGTTGTAATGATCCAAGAAAAGTTTTCTAATATTCTTTGTTTGTCCGAAACATTAATTAAACGGGTTGTAAATAAAATCTTCACCTTCAACATCGATGAGTAATTTCGACACGTATCGCGCATAAATTCAGGAAGGAATTTCTAATTAGACGTTACCTTTCTATTGTCAAAGCTACATGCTGATGAAAGATTTATTTTTCAAGTGTTCTACCGGCGATTGATAAAATTACACGTGTGCTATTGAATTTAATTGTACCGAGGAATCTGCGTTATCATGAAAACTAAGTACATTCTTTTAGTTACAACGGTACAATCAAACGTAATATAAATATGTTCGTTCTCACTGAGTCATTTTAAAGTAGGAAAATAATGTATTTTCCGACGTAGCTTCGAAAAAAATTAACTTGCGAGTTCAGAAAACGCAATTTTTAACACAGCAATTATGAAAAGTAAGAACGGGTTAGTTAGATTGACAATTATGACGTATAGTTTTTTGGTAATAAAAAAGTTATGTGATGTACGTGACGTAAACATTAACCGGAAAATAACGTTTCATTTGTAACGTACTTCTTCATTTAGGTAGTCGGTAAGTAGACGTATGCTAGAGAAAAGAAAACAAACGAGAGTAAATTTAAGGAAAAATACAGCTCATCACAATGATAGTTGTAAGTTGATGACATTCTAGTTACAATGTTTTGTAAGTAACGAATTTCATTTTGTCGTTGCCATATGTAGCTCAAAATAAGATAATAGGCTCCAGTGACGTCTACGAACCACTGAATAAAAGGATATAAACGAGATCGTGATTTCTCCACTCTCAAAATTTATTTTATTCAGGTGTATATTTTAATGAATAAATTAGAAAAAAAAGCGTTAACATAAAATCAATTTTTTAAATCTATTATTATTACAAATTTTGCAAAGATTAAGACATTTATGTTGCTTTGAGTAACGTTAATACAAAGAGCAATAAAAGGATATTATTAACATCCATATGTCGAGAGAAGTTATTATCAATAAAACGTTTTCAAAGATAACCGATTCTAAAAGAGTAATGACGACACAAAAGTTGAAATCCATTGTTGTCTGACAACAAAAAAAACTTGACGATCTTTAAAATGATGGTTGTAACATAAGCATTTAAAAAATGCCGAATCTAAAAGTAAATAAAGATAAAAGAAAAGCAGGCTACGGCATTGAATGAAGGCTTACATTATCTCGTGCACGTTACTTCAGAATTGGTCACGTGTACGAATATGTACACTACTGAACCGGTACGAATATTACACTTTTCTAGTGGATAATTCAGCGTGTGAAAGAAAAGCGAGAATTTGCATAATCTCGTTGGTATCTACCAAATTGTAGAGTATCGCGAAAACGGTACGCAGGTAAAATAAAAACATCCATAATTATTTTATGGGTATCACTTTAATGCTCGCGTGTTTTTCTTTCCGCCACATTCGAAACAAAGTGTTTCCCGGTAAGCTGTGACATAACATCCATAATTTGACGAATGAAAATGTGGAATAGCACCTGTTGCATACGCCAGTGTCCTAATTGTCGGCGCGCAGTCACGCGTACGCGTAAATGTATAAACGTGCACTGAGCACACAGGCGACGCGAGTTACGCTTTCACGTGTGCGCGCATAATAGCGTGATTGGTTTTTCTCAGACATCTAGTAGCAGCCGCAGCGAGATGCATAGCGGTCTATAAAGTATACCTTTATAAGAATGCCGGACGAGCAGCGGCAGTAAGATGAGAGAGAAAGGTGAGGACTTACGATATATATTTGCTGCGTAGTGCTCGCGGCCCATGGCGTGCTCTACCTATATAGCGAGAGTGAAAGGAAGACAGGCGTCTCCCTGTGTACGTACGCGTCGTGCTCGCAAGCGAGTCCGAGCTATTTAGAAAAGGACGACGATCCATGCTTTACTCTCCTGAAGACACGTGCTCCCGAATACTTTTTGCATGATTATGAGTCGACGCGATAGAGATCGATGGAACCGTTCTACGCAATTCTAATTGTATTTTACCTTAGACGTCACTTAATTAAATTATTATCGCCTCTTATCGACTTACATTTTTCAGGATAATCGTCAATTTGATGGTTAATCCATTTATTTTTCAGTTCTCATTCATTCTCGCAATTCATTTGCAATTCCTTTTACGGTAATGGAAAATTTTGAAAATTGTCAGTGTACAAAACACCTACATTTTACAGTGTGTAATGTTCAGTATGCTCGTTGTTTATATTCTTATAATACGTTCTCAAACGTTTCATTTATTTAGTTCATTGCTCTTATCCTATCCTCTTCTATCGAATCTTAATCGAAATGCGATCGAAGACGTCATTAGCAATGATCATTGACAGTGTGAGTACAAGCTTGAAGTATTTCTAAAGACTCAACGAAGATCGGTGATGATTAAATTTTCACAATCATCAAAGTACGCCAGACCGATAAAAGTCACAGCGACACAGCCGGATACACCTTTAATCGATTATCAGCTTTGTTGGACATATCTGAAAAATTACCGCCGCCGCGTTAGGCGCTCACCTGTCGTAATTCGAATTAGAGCAATTAAGTATACACAAAAGCCAAGCTGATTATTTTATTTGACGGACGCTGTTGCGCGTAAACGTGTGATTGTATTTCTCCGTAGTATATTGGCTGTAAACTTGGCTCAGCTATAAAACGCTTTTTAATATTTCATTCTTTTCGTTAATTCGAGCTTTCTCGCTCAGACAATACAACGATCGCAATTGTGCAGGCTGTCTATTATTCACTGCGAGTTTATGGAATTATAGCTCATTAGCGCGTCGTTCGCTAGTATTTAATTGCTTCTCTAACGTAAATCATGGTATTTCTCGGTAGCATCATCTTGCTCAATTTGTTCAGATATATTTCAGCTGATCGATCGTTACTTACGTCCTCGTGATTTTCTAGCTTCAACGTTCTCCCAAAAAGGCTCCTCGAAGGATCCCTTGGAGGCAAGGATGCCTTGGAGTGTCAGCCTGACCATATCGACCCTCTTTCCACTTGCAAGTTGAAACAATTTTGAAATGAAAAAAAATATTGTCACGGTCGACAAGACGACACAGCGTGCACTAGTAGAACGTTATTCGGTATTACTTCTCCGCGAACATCGTGCATGTGGATTAACTGTTACACGCGCGGCATGACCCTCGAACTTTCGAGGTCGGGGAATTTCCAGTCCTTTTGGAGCCCCCTTGCAAGTTCCTAGGAGGTATTGTCTCGTTTCCTGCCCTTCTGCCGTTGTTTTCGACGCCGTAGGTACGAAACCAGAACCAGCGACATACAAAAGCGAATCGAGACAAAGTAACAGACGAGAAGTAACGTGCAGGGAAAAACTCGACGACTAGGAAGCAAGAATAGCCTCGAGCTCTGCTCCTGCTGCTGCTGCTGGATGAGCAAATGTACAAATTGTGCGCAGAGGTGAATTCGAAAGAAACGAGTCTGTGCCATGGCTCAGATAAGCAGGCAGGTAGTAACGCGTGTATAACACAAGTACACGCAGAGAGAGAGAGAGAGAGAGAGAGAGAGAGAGAGAGATGTGTGCGCGTACGTAGCTACAGTGCTTTTTAACGGGCATCCCTCCCCACCATCGGTTTTCGGTCGGCGCGAGCCTCGTGTAGCGGCCCCCGCCAATGCGCGCGGCCCGACTTCGGGAGAGCCGGTAGCACGACGGCGGCGGCGGCGGCGGCGGCAGCGACGCCGCGCGAGCACCACGCGTTGGGTATACGTCGTCGGTGGTATATAATCCTGCCACCACCAGCGGGCCCTGTCTAGTATTGCGAGAGTGCAGCGAGCTACGGCGGCTCACACTTGCTCGCGCCGCGCTACGTCGTCGCTACACATTGCTCTAGCCACCGCTCTCCTGGACAATCTCCGCGCGCACGGATACCAAGCCAGCTCTTTCGTTTCTTTTCTTTCTTTCTGACGATACATTTCCACGTGCCGGCAGACCGCCCCTGCAGTACAGTGTTTGCGCGGTATAGACACTTCTCTATTTACGTCGCCTCCAGCCG